ATCAACTCGCATGGTCAAAGAAAAAATCAAAATTTAATGATATCGGTATTATTTATGTTTCACAATTAAACATAAGTAAGGGTTAATATTATAATATTAATATAATTGGCATGTACAAATGTAGTTAGATTATTATATCCAGCGAATTTAATCGTTTCGAAACTCGTCGAACTCGAGTTGAATTCGAGTTTGAATTTGCGTTGATGAAATTGTTAATTTTTGTTAGATTTGACTTGATTAAATATGATTTAATTNGAAACTCGTCGAACTCGAGTTGAATTCGAGTTTGAATTTGCGTTGATGAAATTGTTAATTTTTGTTAGATTTGACTTGATTAAATATGATTTAATTTTACAATTATTATAAATAAACTAAATGATTAAAATTGTAAATAAAAAATAGTATAATAAATTCATAATATCTAGTGAAATAAATTAGTTCGTGTGAACTCAAATTGAACTCGAGTTGAACTCATATTTGACGCGATTGAATTCGTTCGATATTTTAGATAATAACTTATTATTTGTAATTGTCTGATATAAATATATTGCAAGGGCATCTTAATCTTATTGCCTGCATATATTATTTTTAATTTTTAAATAAAAAAGAAATTTATTTTTGCAGATATCTTAAACATATTACTTGCATATATTATTTTGAATGTTAACTAAAATAAACAGAATTTCAAACTAGAGAAAATATTTATAAGGGAAGTATACGTCTTTTTTTTTAAAAAAATAATCATTTCTCAACAAATTTTAAACATGCCTATAAAATGGACCCGTGCGGCTACTGACCATTTGATAAGACAAAGAAGGTAAAATAAAATATCTTTCTAGATGTCTTCTTTCTTTTATGTTACTTACATTATTCTTTTATCTAATAATTCAATAAATAACAATAATGTAAAGACGTGGTAATGAGCGCTACCACGATATGGATGGTAGAAGTAGGGTCTCCTTCTGGGAGACAACTGCAAGACGACTCTACCAGGACCTACGATTTCGTTGCTCTGCAAGACAGTGTGAGCAACGATTCCGAAATTTAATTCAGAATTTCAATGTTAGTAAAGCAATAATAAAATAAAGATAATAAAAAAAAATGTATTAACTGTATTGATATTTTTAGGATTTTGTTGAGTGGAGAAATGAAGGAAGTAGAGGTCGCTGGACCAGAACAGGCCAGCGTTACTATCGGTCTTTCAGAAGCAGATTCTGGAAGCAGCCCGGTAATTATTAGAGATCTTTTAATTAATTCTTATATTTATTTATATTAAATTTATTTTATTTACATTATTAGAAACGTGGCATAGTAGGAGACGCCAACGTAACAGGAGGCACCTACGGCGACTTTGAGCTTGAGATTTAATTTATATTTTTTTTTATTTTATATTTTTTTTATTTTATATTTTTTATTTTTATGTTTTATTTTTATGTTTTATTTTTATATATTTTAATTTTATATTTTTTAATTTTATATTTTAATTTTATATTTTTATATTTTAATTTTATATTTTTTAATTTTATATTTTTATATTTTTATATATTTTATTTTTAATTTTATAATTTTTATATTTTCCCTTTCCCTTTCGTCTTCTCCCTTCCCTTTCGTCTTTTTCTTTCCCCTTTTCTTCATTTTTTTCTTTTTCTTTCGTTTCCCCCTTCCCCTTCGTCTTTTTCTTTTCCCTTTCCCTTTCCCTTTCGTTTTCTCCCTTCCCCCCTCCTCCCCTCCGATGCAACAAATTGTGGCTGTGATAAATTATATTACCTAATTTGACGCATAAAATTTTGGTTAAAATTAACCAATAAAATCATATGCATGATGTAATAATAAATTAAAATTAACCAATTAAAATCACTTTAATTACATGCATGTGATATCTAAAAATAGCTAAAATTCGCGTTTATTAATGAGATTTTTTTTGTTTATTTTCAAAAATACACTTTTCTCTTGTCTTTTATATTAACACTTTACGGTCTGTCTCTTATACACATCTTTTTTGAAATGATTTTGTAATAATTTTAAAATACTACAAAAATA